CCATTTGAGAAAAGTTGGTTTCAATGCTCTTCTCCAACCTGCTCCCCCAGCTTTCTGCAGGGAACTGTCAGTCATCCAGCTCTTGGGGCCAGAGTCCCCTGAACCCTGCAGACTGAGGACAGTAGTGATGCTGGTCACACATACTGGTTTTGGAAGAGAGACTCTTTCACAGCTACAGCAGGATCCGGTCTGACCAGAAAATGAGCAGAACACACCATGCACAGACAATAAGCATTTGTCTTCCATCTCTCCTAGTTCTCCACCTCTTCCTCCCTCTGTATCCCCTTCTTTCTTGCAGCCCCTCCATCCACTGCAGAGAAACCAAAGTACCTTCCCAAGCAGAGTTGCGTTAACCTCCTCCCAGCTATTACCAACTGCACCTTCTTTTAAAACCCTGCCTTTAAAAATCCTTCCAGAATAACATCAGCATTTCATCCCCCACACCATGGGAGCTTTGATTTGAGAATTCAGACAAAACAGTGTGTTTCTGTCTTTGTCAAGTGTGAACAGCCACGGGCTTGGAAAATAAATCAGATGCTGGAGATGAGCAGAGACGGCATTCCAGCTTGCCCAGGCAGGGCTTGGGTCACGTGGAGTACTGAACAGCAGCTGTAATTCACCTGTCTGATTAGCAGGGGGGTCAGATCTTTGCAAGTGCAGTACAAGGATATGCTGACTGGATGGGAGAACTGCAAGGCACTGTACTGCACAGCCCTTTTCTCGCATGGTTCCCAGAGCTGCCATTATACCCAATTCTGAAGGACACAGTCACTAAAATCACTTACAACTGGGCTGGACAAAGCCACTGAGAATCGAATGAAGTAGAGAACTGCCCAGAGTGTTTCTGTCACCCATTCTAGGGGGTGGACTCGCTGCCAAAAAGTGAGCCTTCAAACATGAAAGCAAGTTCACTTCTAGGTCCCAATCCCCCAGGCCTGATTCTCTCCTGCTTTGCGTTGTCCCTGTGCTGCGAGGCACAACTGTTCTGACTGGGTTGAATGATGTATCTGTTTCATGGTCCCTTTGCACAGATGTAGCTGGCTTCACAGGGCCAGGAGACTCTTGCTCAGGTGTGTCGGGGGTAAGGAGCATCGTGGGCAGCTTCCCATCATCATGCATCCAGCAGTAGCCACTTTTCTGTGCTGCCAGAACCAGAGGGACCACTTCCTCCAAGCACTCATGGGAGGGGAGCTCTGTGGACCAGGCCACAGAAAAAGCCAGGTGTTAGGTGCAGCAGGTATCTCCATAATCGTTGATGTTAGTGCCTGTCAGCAGTCCCATGCATCCCATGGAGCTTTGACCTTAGTGGAAAGGTGTATTGATGCATCACAGACAGTGAGGGCTTGGAGGCTCCCATACTTTGCCAGTTCTGATTGATATGTAGCAAAGAAATGTACTTTCCTTGCTGTTTGTGGGGACCTGGAGTATCTCATAGGGAGCAGAGTGCCTCTAAGAAGCGATTCTGTAGGAAAGAGCAGCAGTCAAGGTGCCTCTTCCACTGGCCCAGAAAACAATTCCATGTGCTAACTGAATGCTGGGGCTGGGTAGAGACCAAGACACAAAGGCCTGATCAGATACTTTCACAATAGTAAAGTCACACAAGCCCATCACAGTCATCTCCTTGGACCTGCCCACACAGGCCAGAAAGCCTCCCCCAGTGACTCCTTCCGGCCACTGGCTCCTGTTCTGCCTTTACCTTCTAAGTTACAGAGTCCTCTGCTGTCAGAGACCTCTCCAAAGAGGCACCTTATGATTACAGTCAAGTTACCCCTCATACCAGGTCACCCTTCCCAGCGCCATCTTCCTAGTCCTCTGCACCTTGCGTGGGGCACCCTTGGATCCTTGTTGGGGTTCTTATGTCCCGCCCTATACGCGCCTGCCACGTCTTGATGGAAATTAGGATGATGTTCTTGCGAGCGGGAGGCTGCCTATTGTATTGGGTGTGTTGAGGCCTTTCTTCTATGTGGGACTGACCCCTGATTTTCTCTAGCTAGGCCTCCCTGTCTAAACCCACTAAACAGGGTTTGACTCCAAGGCTCTAGTCTTTTCCATTGTCTTAAGGCCTGGGGCCCCTTTTTCTGCTCCAATCTGGAGCCTGGTCCAAAGGCCCGGGCGCCAATCCCACAGCCAGAGGGCTGCAAGCCCAAAACCAGGGGATGACCCTGACCTTGCAGCCTCTCAGGCCACAAAAAAAAAAACAATACCAAAATAAAGCTGCACCACAGGGGCACCAGAGCTCCCCGGTTTTTTAAGATTGCGCCTTGCTGGTGCTGGGCTTCTCGCTGCCCTCCACCCCCCGGGGTTTCTCCACCCTCCGGGGCTGGGGTTCCCACACTGCCAAGGGCCCCCATGAGGCCTCCTCCAACCACTAATAGCCTCACCCAAACCTCTGGTGTCTTATACAACAAGAAACAAAACACAAGCCCCTGGGCTGTAACATAAATTCATGCTGCTTGGCTATAACATTATTCCCAGTGCATCAGGGGTGCTCTATCCTTCCCCCAGTCTCAGAGCTGTACCTGCCGTCTGGCTTCTCCCCCAGGCTTGCTCTGGGAGAGCTCCTTCCCCCATGGCTGATGGCAGGGAAGTCCCTGCCTGGCCTCAGCCTGGGAGTTATATAGGAGCCAAGCCCTGCCCCTTCCGGTCAGCTGACTCCCACCGGTCGCCATAGCAACCAGCACCTGCGGCTCTTCATTACTACTCCACAAGTAGCAGGCACCTCAGTGCCCTGCTACATCCCTCCACTTAATCTTTGACAAACGAAAGAGCTGGAGCTTTTTTAGTTTCTCCCTGACAGGTGGGTTTCCAGACGGCCAGTCACTCTTCTAGCTATTCACTCAGCCCCTTCCGGTTTTTCAGCATTCCCTCTGACACTCAAACTGAACACCATATTCCTGCCATGGTCTCACCAGCACCCTGGGCAGAGACAAAGCCACTTGGCCACGCTTTATGGACACTCCCTTGTAAGTCTTGTTGCTGTGAGCTCATGTTCAGCTGGTTTCCACTGTGACACCCAAGTCTTCAGAGGCTGTGGTTTCTAGGTGATAGCCCTCATGCTGTATGTGTGGCTGACATACTCTGTTCCCAGATAAAAGGAGTGATGGGAGAAAACCAGGAGGGAATGAGAAAGAAACAAGAAAGAACAAGATAAACGTTTTGATATTGATTGGCTGAGTCACCCGAGAAGGAGTCCTGTCTTTTATTTTCCTTTCTCCAGCAGCTATTTTTTTTCTTGCCAAGTTAACTTTGTCTTTGTTTGCCCTGCACATGTACTTGGGCACATGCAACTTGGAGAACTCTCTCAACCTCCAAGCTCTGCAACCTGCATTGGCTGCCTGTAGGCATTAGCTGTCCTGCATCAGGGCCTGAGTCCGTTGTGCTTTTTGGTGCTGGGTAGGGTGCAGATGCAGCTGACAAGGGAGCTCCTGGAACCAAATCACACCCCAGCATAAATTGCTGCAGCCGGGAGTTGCTCTGGGCAGGTCTGCGCCATCACAGTGGGTGGTTCAGTGCTCCAGGGAGACCAAGCATATCTCACCCACCCCACAGGCGCACCCCAAACCCTGAAGTACATCAGTGACAGCGCTTCAGGGTCATTTCTTCAAGTCCTCCATCTCCAGCAGGCCTGAGAGCAGACAATGTACCTCTGGGTTTGGTATGTGCCTGTGGACATGCTGAGCTCCCTCAGTGCTGGAACTTGCTACCATGGCAGTGGGCTGATCTCCCGTCCATCTCCTCATGCCTCTGCCTTGCTCCAGCATGTGAGGGAGACAACATGTGCTTATGGACAGCCACATGCTGTGTCTGACTCAGGGGTAATCGTGGGTAGATATTTTTGAAAAGGGGGGTGCGGATGGTGAAGTGCATCATCACATACAACACAACACATTTTTCTCCAGTTAAGAAGAAACTAGAGGCTGTAGTAATATTGCATGGGGCATAGGCCTGGATTATTCAGTTTAAGATTGAAGCAAAAACAAGTCAAACTTCACTGGGACGAGCTAAGAACAAGCTGCAGGGCTGTGAAATAGGAGCTTCAGTACCAGGAGCAGGGGGCAGACAGCAGCACTGTAGAACAAAGGATAACCCGATTGCTAGGTACAAGACTATTAAAAGGAAGACAGGGTCATTAATACCTGGGGAAAGAAAGAGTTTAGAAGGGATGACGTAGATGACAATGCGCCATGAAGTCAAGCACCTCCCTCAGTGCTGCCTTTCTAGAAATGCAGCTGCCACTGCCAGGCAGTTGGCTTTCATAGTTTCATAGTTTCTAGGGTCAGAAGGGACCTGAGTAGGCTTTAAGCTTTGGGTGGATCAGGAATGAAAGGGGGGTGCTACTGCACCACTGCACTCCCTAGGGTCTGCCTCTGGGGGTAATTTCCTGTATTGCAGTGCTGTAATGGCCCCAGTACCACAAGGGCTGGTGTGAAGGAGTGCTCTTCCTTCCCTGCGAATGGGAAGGTGGTGGGGTTAGTTCAGGCACAGGTTGTAGCAAATTCTTTCTCTCTCTGTATGCTGAGCTCCTAGACACCGTCCCAACTCACTCATGGCTTTAAATGAAGTGAACATTCGTACATATTCCCTCACACAATTTGCCTGGCTCTGTTGTGGACTCCTGGCTCTTTCTAAAAGAAAAGAGCTGCTGTCCTCAGCATCCAGGCTCTATTCCAGTGTAAGTTACCTACAGGCTATTGACTGTGCCTGGGCCAAGCTTTCTTCTTCACCACCTGTCCCTATAGTGCAGTGACAGTGGCTGTTGAGTTCCCCCTCCCAAGAGGTGTCTGCGAACAACAGAACCAATGTGCAGCTAACCATGCTGAAAAGTGCCTTGTTTTCATTAGTGAGTGGGTATGGGTAGTACTGAGTGACGGTATTTCATACAGGACCAGAGGACGAGAACAAAGCTGCTTCTGGAGCAGGTGTCCAGCTGGGGCCAGTGCTGGGCCTAGAGAAGGCAGTGTCATACCCTGCATCCCATCTTTGCCTTTCTTTCCTCCCAGACCTCAGTGACCAGCTCCTGGAAGTGGTGGGTCTCGAGGGGGCAATGGAGATGGGGCAGATCTACACTGGACTGAAGAGTGCTGGCAAGAGACTGGCTCAGTGTTCTTCCGTCACCGTCAGGTACCTGCCCCGGCCCCCAGCACCTGCCTGAATGTGTTTTGTACCTCTGATTTTGTTAAAACATAATAATAGAAACATGACAGTGTCACCACACTTGTCTATGCTCTAAGCCCTGCTTCCCACCCCAGTCTCTCCCCCGACTCCAACACATCTGTTCAACCGGCATGATTTATCTGAGCATTTGTACAGCACCTTGCACAGGAGGCTCCTGGCCCATCATTGCAGTTCCCAGGCACTTCTGCCATACAAGTAACCATGACAGTGTTTAGCATGAGCCCTGTCTCCTGTTCCTCGTGCTACCACCCCCAGCTGATCACAGACCCCTCCGTATCTGTTGCGAGCATTTGAAGTTACAGCTACTGAGCAGTTCCACAAGAAGCCATTCTTCCGCCTTCACTGGTAAAACCATGCTGTATCATTCCCTGCTCCCCTCCTGGTTCTCGGTAACTGTTTGAAGGCACTCATGGGTGTTTTTGTGGTAGCTGCTAGCTAGTTTTCTGTGCAATTCGGTGCGTCCCTTGGCCCCACACAGTGGCATAGCTCAGGTCCTGAAGGTCTCAGGTTATGGGCAAAGACACTAGCAGGCAAAGAGAGCAGATGTTTTACAGCACATCTGCTAGTGGGTAACTGCCCCTGTGCGTGCTCCCCCAGCAGTACAGGAAAGGTAAGGGGGACTGTTACTATGACTTAGCTGGGTAAGAGCCTATCACCAGGCAGCTTCCATGAGGTAGCAAATGTGCTTATGATCCTCACCTTCATTTATCTCAATAACTCAAGGTAATCTGCACCTGTTTTCACAGCCGTTGAACAAAACCTGTGTTGGAGTCAGTGGGCCTTTGGCTGACTGGATGAAGCCTGTGCTGTGGGCAGACTCCAGGAGTTGCCTGTGCATGTTCAGTCTCCCCTTTCCTGCTTCCCATCAATAAATAGCTCTTTGTGCAAGGCCATCATTATCTCTGCCTTGCCCACACCTCTTCTTCCCTTGGTAAAAAGGGATGTGCAAATGCAGACTGTTATCTCAGGCTTCCCATTCATTGGTGCTGTTGTCTCCCCCTTCCCATCCTTGGGCAAGAGCTCCAAGGACTGGCTTAGGTCTTCGACCCATCTCCTCAGAGCCAGATGCCTCGATCCTTTTCCAGAGGGAGGGTGGTTTGCTCCACCTGTAGCAGCACATGATTCCTCAGCCTTCCTTTGCGCTCCTGGATTTCACTCCTTCCTGAAACAACTAAGACCTCTCCCCATAGCTTAACAGCCCCCACCCCCGCACTGTACTTCCCCATAGCCCCAGATGCCAGCATCTGCCCCGTTCAATTGAATCCCATGCACCTTCCCCTCCATAGGCTTAAATCCTAGTTCTCCCACCCTTCATGACCAAGCCAGGCCCTGTGCTCTGGGTGCCTCTCATCCATGCAACCCCATGGGATGTTATGGTCTCTGTAGTGTCTCATCCCACATAGGCATCAGAGCCAGTGGTAGGATTAAGGGCATTCAGGTGGGGGCTGGGACAGAGTGGAAAAAAACTGGGCAAGAGAGAGACTGTTGTTCAGAGAAAGTGATTGGACACAGTAGTTTCATAAAATGTGGTGGGTTATAGGCTACCCTCACCAGCATGATGCCTTAGGTCCAAGGCATAGCAGCTGTCCCTGTGTCTGTTATGTACCCCCAAGAGCACCGAGTGTGTGGCACTAGCAATTGCCTGAAAAGCCCGTGTGTTCCCGAAGGGCTCATACAGGAGATGTGTGTGATCCCTGTACAGTGCCCAGCCCCTACCCGCTCCTGCGTCGCGTTCACCCCGTGTCTTGTCTGTTTGCGGGTTCCAGGACAACTAAGCTGCTGCCCATGCAGGTGGATGGGGAGCCCTGGATGCAGCCGCCCTGCACCGTGAGTATCCAAGGGACAGCAGCAGGGGTGGAGGGACAGGGGCCCACATCAACAGTGGCTGTCAGTGCTTTGGTTGTCTTTTCTGTGAGGGAATTTGTGACGTGGAGGAGGTTCCCAGCAAAGTCCTCCTAGGTTACACCGTGTGACTGCATCTTTCTCCTGTGCCCCCACCACCACCTGGATACGAGCCCCTCAGGCCTGAGTGCCATGAAGCTGCCGCCCTTCCCAAGGCTGAGAGAGAGAGAGATCAGCTGTGATTACATTTTAAAAAATTAAGAAAGATCCAAGGTGTGACCAACCAACAGTCCCAGGGCCCTTGCATTCGAAGCGGGGCTCTCTGTGGTGCCTGAGGCTGAAGCCTGGGGTCTGGTTGTGGGGGGTCTCCAGGGGCCTGGGTCCCTGCACACCTGGGTTTTCTGGAATCTCTTCGTCCTGCTGCTCGGGATAGTGGAAGACGTAGGCTGACCACAGACATGTGGTCATGGTCTATGTCTCCGGGTTGGGTTGGATGACCATATTATTTTTAGTGAACTCCGACTAGGCAGATCTGTCTGTCCTTCAGTGAACGAGCCATGGCAGACTCTGGGACCAGCCCCAGCTGGGAGTGCCACCCCAGGAGGGCTGTGTGGACACAGTGCTCACCCTGAGCAGCCTGCCCAGACCTGGCTGTGTCCCCTCCCCCTCTCGATCCTGGCAGGGGGCAAGATGCATTGCCAGTGCCATCCAGCCCCCTCCCCCCAAGACACTGGCCCCTACTTGTGTGAACAGGAACACCGTGGCCCATCCTGCCTGCACAGCAGTGTCCGGCTCTCCTCCTCACGCCATACCATCAAGCCTCTGAATCCACAGCAATGCCTCTGAGCTTCCTGGTGGGTGGCACCAGAGCCTGGCAACCTGCTATTTTTGTCCCTGCCGCATGTTAGACTCACTGCAGCAACTGCACTAGAGATTGCAAAGATGACTGTCACCAGATTTCACAGCAGCGCCTGGGGAATGGGCTGTGGCTGCTTCAGTCTCTGGCTCAGGGGGAAGTGGAGCCAAACTGAGTGCAAGTTGGAGTGTCCCTAGCAAAGGCCCCAGAAAGATTCAAAGCAGCCCCAGAGACCCCATAGTTCATGGTCTGGGGGCCTGCTGGCAGCATGCGAACAGACCAGCCAGGCAGGGCATTTCTGTCTTACAACTGGCCACATGCTCTGGTAAATGGAACAGGGGTGCAGGGTGTAGCCGTGCCGGTCTAAGGACACAGGCAGACAAGGATCTTCGGGTGAATCTGATATCTTTTATTAGACCAACTTAAATAGTTGGAAAAAAAATTTTAGCAAGCTTTCGGGTTTAAAAACCCTTCATCAGGCTGAGAAAGTCTCTCACAGTTGGTGCAGAGACTTCCTCAGCCTGCAACTGCAATTGCAGGGACTTCCCTTCATCCCACACCAAGACAATGACATGAGTGTGAGTCTGAGAAAGGTTCGAGCTGCCTGGCCCCAGTTGTTACAGTCACGCTGTGCGCAGGGTGTGTCGTGTGCTCCCCTTGCTGCTCCTTCCACAGAAGAAGTGAGACTGGTAGAGCTCTCAGCTCCCAAACCCAGGTCTGGAGCTCAGCTCCCAGCAGTGCAGGTCACTAGTCCAGTCTCTGCCAGGCCAGGTGGTGGTTGTCACATTATCTTGGGTAATAGAGACCCTGTGCCTAAAATGGCCATGTACCTGTGGGGAAGTAGCCAGTCAGATCTTCTCTGCTTCATGGGTTACCTATTCATTTGTTTTCTCTCTCTCTCTCTCTCTTTAGATAAAAATCACCCACAAAAGCCAAGTGCCAATGTTGCTGGGCCCTCCCCAGAAGAGCAGCTTCTTCTTTCTGAGGAGAAGAAACCGAACTCGAGACTAATGTGTACCCGAGCAGAGAACTCCAGTTTTGAAGCCATGATTCTGCATCCTGATGACAACCGTCGCAACAAAACCCGGTGGATTGGAAACCTTCATCTCTCCTGATTTCCTTACGTCTCTTTCTTCTGTGGAAACCTCAGATCAGAGGCAGCATCTTGAACACTTGATGGGAAACAACATTGCCGGTCGCAGGATGCGACCACTGGAAATGGGACGTGGTCTGCAGTTTTACACACTTGCGCACACGTACACGCACACACTCACAACACTGCAGGCAGGCAGAGCATGGGTGGTTTAAAAAGACATTTTTCTCAACGTTGCTGAAACTGAGGAGGGGAAATAAAATCTCTGGGACCCACAGAAAAGATTTGTCCATGGCAAAGCTTGGGATCTTTCAAGACGATGCTCAGTGAATGTCACTGTTCAGCTGGGCCCAAAGTGAACAAACAAAGGCAGCTTGCAACTGGTGAAGTATAATATCTGGCATGGCACTGCAAAGGAGAGTTGGCTTCTGTCCTTTTATTTAAATAACTTACCCCCTACCAAGGCACAGAAGGAACATGGAAGCCAGGCTTCACTTATTTATTTTTTAGTCCTGTCAGATGACGCTGTGTTTGGCTGCACTGTCCCTGTGGTCACCGAATCCTACACGTTCAAAAGGCTATTTATTTTCTTAGCGTAGAGAACACTGAGGAGAGGAGCTGGGAGGCTGGCCGTCGTCTCTCAAACAGTTGTAATAACATGCTTTCAACCCCCTCGACTAGCTTTTCTTTGAAAAAACAGAAGCGAGGTTGTTATTCAGAGGCAAGCGATCCTTGGAAAGAGGGAGCCAGAAGGGATGGGGGCGGCTGCAAAAGAGAGAGACCTTTCTTTGGGTACAGAAAACAAACTCAGGGTAAACTGAGTGTCTCTGCTTGGGATGTGTAATGACTCGAACCTGGTCCTTTCAGCACAGCTGCCAGCCTCTGTGGGACCCTGAATCTTTGAGTCCAATTTTGGACCCCAAATCTGTGTTTTTATTTATATATTTATTTAACAAATGCCTTTCTTGCTTTTTTTTTTTTTTTTTTTAAAAGAAAGAGTTCGACCAGAATGAAATTTCTCCCTTCTTGTTGGCTGTTCTGAGTAAGGAGAAAACCCAGCTGCCCTTTCATGAGATTTGATTTAGTTCACTGACACCCAGCCCGAGACAGATTTTGGATGGAACGTGGTTACCTCCATGTGCAGGATCATCACAACCAGCAGCGGGCGCCTGAATGGCTTTAGAAGGTGCATGGGGCCTGGGGATGAAAGCAAAGCAAGCCCAGAGCTAGCCTGGCAGAGAGCTGTGTTTGCTTTCTAAAGCCCGACTTTGCAGGAGAGAAATGTAATGAGTTCACTCCAAAGGGAGCCAAGCAACCCAAAGTTGGGTGCGTGTGATTCTGACACAGGAGCTACCTGTTTCTACACCTCCCAGCTCTGGAGATCTGCTGCCAAGTCTTAGTTTTTCACTGTTAGTCTTCTTCTGCTCCATGGTGGGGTTGGAAGGTAGGCAGAGTACTGCCGGGCAGAGCTGTGGGGGGGAAGCTTCCTCAAAATCTGACTGTCCTGCTCTCGCTAGCCCACAGACAAGTAAGGGCAGACACTCGGGCACAGCCAGGAGAGAACTGGTAGTGCCCAGTGAAAGCATGTGGGCCTCCCATTCTTCTCCAAGTGTTTCTTGGCCATAGGACAACATCAGGCTCTGTCTGACTATGCTGCGACTCACAGCTCTGCAGCATGTGTCTGGCATTGGTTCTAGCCATTACATTGTGGGACAGTGCCAGCAAGGGGCTTGTGTTACCACAGCTCCAGGAAAGAGCAGGGAGAGCCACTTGCTGCTGGGAGCCGGGATACCACACTTGTCACTGGTGTGCAAGGGTCTTCCTTACTTGCCCCTGCACGGAGTAGCTAAGTGGAATCTTCCTCTTCCTTAAAATTGTGGGAAAGGGCAAAAGCCATCAATCCTGAGGCGTGTCCCTGTCCCAGCCAAGAACATGGGAAGAGGAGGAGTTCCTGCCTAGGGAAAACACTTTAAATAAGCTAGGAAATCAGGAAGGCACCACTGGGCGTTGCATGAATCCATCTGCATGGTTACAGAGAGATGCACTGCAGTAGCTGGCCAGGGAGTTCTCTGCCTCTTCTGGGAAGTGGTGTTTTCTAGTGTTATAGATACCACTTTGTGGAGGCCCTTTCTAGTTCCCTCCAGGCTGGTAAAATGCTCCTGAACGTGACTTGGTGTTTTTGAGGGGAAGAGGAGAAGAGGGCAAAAGGAAGAGAAAATAACCCAACTCTCGCTCCTGAGCAGTTGTGCTGCCCTCGTGGTGATGGGTGTGAATGAAGGTGGGAGAGGTGGCACATTGCTTGTGAAGTGCTGGCCCCAGGAAGGAAGCAGTCGGCGCCGTTCTGGTTTGGAAAGAAGATGGACTTTCCTTGGAATTCTAACTAGTTGCCTGGGTGGTTTCCCCATGGCCTCCACAGGGTGACCTGACATTGAACCAAGTGTCCTGATGGTCCAGGAGCAGAAGACCCCTGCTAGGTTTTCATGGTGATGTGCGCTGCATGAGCAGCTCCTGAGGTTTCCCCATTCTAAGGTAAAAAGGTCCTTTCCCAGCCTTTCCTCATATATAAACTGTTTTTTTGCACCTGCAACTCTGAATGTCTCCGATTTATTGTCTCTGGAGACCCTACTTCAGAGAAGTGACTTGGGACAAGCGCACCAGGCTGATGGGAGTTTAGGTACGGGTCCAAACAGAGGTTGTTTTTCACACAGGCTTTTCATCCACCACCTCACCCCATCTTAATGGGATCCTCCCGGGGCCTCTCTCAACCCTCCGTGGTGTTCAGTCCAGGACAAGCCACTTCTTGCTGTTTGCCTTGTCTAGCAAAGAAATATGTCAGCAAGTTGAAGCCACTGCCCTCGCTCCCCGTGAAAGGTCTCTGAGGCAAGGAGGTCCAGGGTTTCCCTGAGAGCAGCATGGGCCTTGCTTGGGGGCAGGCTCAAAACACCTGTAGATGGACTCTGCAAAATGCAGCTGATGGGTGGTAGTAACACAGCCTGAATATCTTGATCCGCTTCCCTCCCAGGGGATGACCAACAGGCTCCATTCCTGATCTAGGCTGGAACGTGGCTGACGAGGGTCAAGGGCAGATGAGGAGTCTAGATACTGTGAGAATTAAGACTCCACAGGCTTCTTCATGACTGGACCACAAAGAGCTGAGATGCTGGACACAATGAACTTTGTTGCCAAGGGTGGGTAGCAACCTGCTGAGCTTAAGCCGCGAGTTGCGTGCCGGACAAAGGGAGGTGCTGGCAATCTCTGTTAGTGCAGGATGTCACCCCAGCCAGGAAAGGCACTGCTCTAAATCCTGGGCTGTGGTATAAAGCTCCCCCAGCTGGAATGCAGACAGATATGGGTAGCCAGAGACCACAGCCCCTTTCCTACTCCCAGGACACTGAGCTGCACAGACACTGAGACGGCAGTCTGAGCTCATGGACCTCCCTCTGCACTGTAACCAGCAAACAGCAAGAAGAATGTCACTGAGCCGTCTGGGTAACCCAGCTGTGCCCAAAATATCCCAGTGGTGTGCTGGGCGAGGCTGTGATAGCAGGAGCAAGACTGAAAAACCTAACTGATGCCATCTGCTGACTTTGTCCCAGGCACCCTGGCTGTCTCCCTTGTCGCTTTGACAGTTGCAGGGTATCTGGGTATGCAGGGCGCTGGGCCATGAGGAGCAGAGCTCATGTGCCAAGCATGGAAACAGCATGTGGGTGCAGGGAAAGCAGTGAACTGATGCAGCCTGTGAGTTGCTGCTAACACATGCGGCTTGGCTGGCCTGGCTGGGCATTCCCTAGACAGTCCGGAGAGAGGCAGAGCCAGGGAGAACAGAAGGAGTGAGCCTGGAGTCATTCCCCACTCTCCAGCAGCTCTCCTGTCTGGTCACCAGCGGAGTAAGCTTCTGTCCCCCGTCCCAGTCCTCTCCTCCCAACCTCCAGGCTTGGAGCATAGTGAAAGTTGCTGATTTTCTGCCTGCTTTCCTGATACCAGACAACACTATCTCTACTCCTTCCCAAATTAGGTTTCCCTCCACAGTGTGCTGTACTGAGCAAGGAAGCCAGGAGCTGGAGGGCCACTGGTCACTGCTCAGAAGACACCAAAGCATCTCCAAGAAGCTGGACAGCAACACTTCCAGGGGAAGGGGCTTTCTCCTGCCCTCCTTCTATAGCTATGGAGCAGATGAACACCTGGTGGTGGTTCATTTCTGTTCCCATGTTACTTTCTCCTGGCCATACCAGGGAACACCAGCTGGGGAGAACAGCAGTGCCGGGCTCCTCAGCAAATAGCAGTGTGAGAAGAAGTAGTATTAGCAGTGCAGATGGGCGATTGCCACCATTAGGTTTCAGAGTCAGAATGCAATGTACCCGATCAGGGCAATTTGTCCTTCTCCAAGGTACGCTGATACAATGACAGCTAGAGGGGCCTGTCCATGATGCACCAAGAGAGGTACTATTGTTGCCAGGTGGAGATGCATGAGATGCATGCTGGCAGACAGCAGCAAACACAGCCCCAGAGATGCTTGCACAACATGAGCCCAGCCAACCCTGCACGACAGGAAGGGGGCAGTCTGAAACAATGAAGAGCAGACAGGCATCACCAGGGTGGAAGAAGAGAGATCGACTGGGCTGCACCAGAGCCACTCAGAGGAAGTGGGTGGCTCTGCAGTCTTCTGGATGCCAGAGCAAGAGATGTTCCCCTCCTAAAGAAGCTTGGGGATGTCCTTTCATTGTGGTCCTCACAATAAGCAAACTACATGAGCAAACAGACTGAAGCATAGTGTTAGCTGTCTAGCATGAACCCTGGAGACCTGGTGACCTATGCCACCCTACAAGACTCACCTGGAGCAGGGCATGTGTAGGGGGGAGAGGAGGGTGTGACCTGAGCCAGCCTTAAATGACTTGAGGGCAGTAGCCAGGCTCCAGGTACACAGCTGGAAGCAAAGTGAGCCGAGTCATTTCAGTGGGTTTTGAAAGGCGAGCATCGTCTCTGATATGGTATAGTCTCCTTGGCTGAGTACTACAGTAGAAGATAAAGCTACTCTCCAGCTGAAGTTGAGAGCCATTAACTAACCTTGTCTTAATGGACTGATGGACATATACCAAAATGCAAGGGGCACAGGTAACAGGCAATGTAGACTAGAAATACCAATATGTTGGGAGAGTGACCTAAAGGGCATGGCTGGACCTGCCAGAGAGGGTCTCACTGAACTAATGGAAGAGATTGTTCCAGAGGACAGTGGTGGAGAGGTGGCTCCATATTTCCATGTATTTGCCCTGCCAGCAAGGTATGAGGTGGTGAGAATGAGGGGAGAAGCAGGATGCTACAGACAAGAGAAAACCACAGGAAAATTGAACGCTGCTACTGGTGACCCCTATGGCTCTGGAAGTGCCATGGAGAGAGGCAAAGGCACTGTGTGTGATGCCAGTCTTAAGCTGCTGACCACAAGGAGGCAAGAGACCCCCCCGCAAGAAATGGAAACTCTACAGATCAGTGTGGCGGGGAGATGACGAGGGAATCCTCTAATGTCCTACCAAGCCCTGACAGCTACTCTTCACCTGTCCTGGAGAGGCAGGAGGTAAAGCAGAATTTGGAGGAAACAGCTGAGATATGAACCCTCCAAAAACCAGGAGGAGCAACCGTGGCAGCTACCATCCGGCATTGCATCTAACCATCTAGCACTGCATCTCACTTCAAGCTGTGGTCAAACAGCAGAGCAAAGATTGACCATGCAGTCCACCCTTCTCAGAAGTGACACCACTTGTGAATAAAAGGTCCATTTCTTTCCCTTCGTGCTATAGCACAGAACAACACCTCAGCAACCACAAGCCAACCTACAGGCCCTTTCATGGGCTCTCAAATACCATTCAGGCCAGAAAGGGTTCAAAAGAAGAAATCTGTAAGAACGCAACCCATCTCAAAATCCTGAGCCCCAAGCACCATGTACAGAGCACCAGCTGTGCCAGGCAGACTCGACTGCTTTGGAATGGAAAAGCAGAAAATGAGTGACTAAGAGAACGCACCAGGTGTCTGGACTTTTGTAAAGCATCTTAGTCAGTGTTCCCTGAAATCTTAATTGAAAAAGATCATTCCAATTTATTCGGATTTAGGAACTGTCCCATGGGCTGGGAGCTGCCTGGGGGACACTCAATAACAGCTAATGCATAATGGCAATGTATAGAGTCTGGGGGGAGATGTTCTGTGAGTCAGATGTCCAGACTGACCAGACTGGAGAGGGTTGCAAAGACCAAGGAGGCCAGAGAAGCAATACAAAGGGAAATGTAAGCAGGGGATGAAATGCATTCATCTGGCAAGAACATACTCTGATATGCAGGAGGAAGAATTATTGCTCGAATGCACATGGGAAACTATCGTGTCCAAAGAGACTGACTGCAGACGTAATGTGTAATGTGGGGTCTCCAAATTATAAAGGAGCTAGCAATTGATGGGGAAATGTTTCTGAAAAAAGCAAGAGCCAGTTTCCTCCTGTGCTACAGTTGGGAGGGCCTGCTTAGAGTTGTATCGTGGATGAGACTGGCCCACTCTGCGTGACAGCAACCAGCATTTTCTAGCTTTCTGCACATCATGCCCCAGATCAAGGAGGGAACAATCCTTTTCTGTGTGACACTGAAGGGACTTTTATGAAAACAGTGCTGTACAGGCGTAGGGCAATGGAGAGAAAGCCAGGAAGGCTGTACCTATAGGACATGAGATGAATTGGGAGGAAGGAAGGACAGAATCTGTTCCATAGGCACCGGGGAACAAGGGAAGCATGTGACACTCATTGCCGTGGTGGGTGAACCCCAAGGATGCAAAAGGGGTGTTGAGGCTCATCTCTTCCATCTCTAGTTTTTTTTCTGTGGAATGGGAACAGCTTCATCATTCAGAGGCAATTGCTCCCTTCTCTTGCCTGCCTGATGGCTTGTGCAAGAGAGGTGCAGCTCCTGCCGCAGCACTTTGTCATCAACAATTTCCAGCGGGTTCTCCCCAGAGCAGAGCTGGGGGCTATACCAGCTTGTCCAGAATATGGTGCGTTTGGTCTGCAGGCTGCCTGCAGAGAGAGCCAGAGACTGTCACGACCTGGAAGTATGTATTAGGAATGA